TTTTTTTTTTTTGGAAAGTAGCCTCTGTGAAACTCTTCTTCTTTCCTCAAGTTTTTTTTTTTTTTTTTTTTGGAAAGTAGCCTCTGTGAAACTCTTCTTCTTTCCTCAAGTTCTTTTCAATGCAATTTTAGTGTAAACATTTGAGTTGAGGAAAGTCTAAGTTTACACCATATCAATATACTAAGCCATATTGTACTTTTTTATTTATAAATAAATTATAAGTCTGAACTTAAGTTCAGACTTAAAATAGTCTGAAATATTTCAGGTCTGAAATCACCTGATTTATTATCACCTGATTATTTTTGTAATGCTTTTAGTCACACTTGCAGGAAAGTTYCCCCCATCCTCATTCATGCCCTGGCACCAGTGCTGGCAGAGCAGCATAACCTGTCCTTGCCACACTTAATTTCTCTGGGTTACCTGAAATTGCGGCAGCGCTGGCGGGTGGCTGCCTGGCCCGTGGGATGTGCAAGGTGCATGTATGGTGATGACAGTAGAGCAGTTCACCTGAGGCAGATAATGTCACTGAACTAAGAGTGATACCGTAGAAGCCTAATGTAAACTGAACCCTTCAGCAAGCAGTCCTGTGTATCGCTAGCCTCTGGAGAACTTTGCTTCTTGTAGCGCTCAGTGACTTCTGTCTCTCCAAACAGATTTCTTCAATCAGCCAAGAGCAGTCAGACGGCAGCTGATGACTCCTGGAAGGAGGGCTGTTACTGACCTGCCCCCACGAGCTGCCCTGCCCAACACGTGTGTGAAGCAGAGCCCCAGCTGGCTGGGCATGAGAACACTATTTGAAAACAAAACTCTTCTCACCAGACCCATCACCTTGGGCACTGACTTGTATAGTTCTTCGCCTCTTGAGCACAAACTTATTTTTGGCAAGAGCTTAGCCTCTCGATTGGTGGAACAGGCACCTCCTCTCTTCCTGCTGTTCAAAACGTTGCTGAAGCGGGAGGGTCTTCACAGGAAGACTGAACCTAGCCTGATTGTGAGCCTCTAACTTGCAGCCCTGGGGAAGGCCTGGCAGCAGCCACCCCCTCGTGAGGATGGCATGTGTGAAAAGGCTCTGGGCTGGCTTGGCCCTGCCACCAAGCAGCCTTGACCTGGCCTGTGGGCTAGGGCCTGTTGCAGAGCAAGGGGTGGGGGAGACTAGAAGTAACTGTATAGGTGTTAGAAGTAAGACTTTTTAAATTCAACCTGGTGTAAGCTGATGTTTGTCTGAAACTTTTTTTTTTACTTCTGTAAAGACTGTATTTCTGCTACTTTTTTTTATTGTTTGTTCTAGAAGATGAAGCTGTTTTTTATAACTGTAGTACACTTCAAGGTGTTGTATTCAAGTGTGTGCATCACAGTAGTTGGTTCACAAGTGAAGGAACAGTACACAATATTTGTGTGGGTTTGGGAACAGGCAGTTGCAGGGACAGGTGGATGCTATTTTAAAAACTGCTGTTCACCAGCACCTTCATGTGTCATGAGGAAGCTAGCAAGCTTCCTGATGACTGGTTCCTGAGCAAGGTATGTGTCTTCTTTTTAATTTTATTTTTTATTTGACTTAATTCCTGCCTAATTCCTCTTGAGGCATTTCCTTTTGAGCTCTTTCAACTCATTCTTGGCTGACTGCCCTAGGTTTTGTAGAGAAGTTTTCTACGGTCTCTCTGGAGATGAAGGATTCTGTTTAAGTGATGTCCTTCTCAGCAAGGGCTGGAGGGCCAATAATAGTCTGAATACACAAAACATGCACTAAGAGCAATGTTTCCCTGCCATCAATGTGATTGATAGTATAGTTTAATAAAATGTTATGGTGCTGAAATAGAGCTGCCTTACAAACAGTGGGCCTGAGGGTGTTTCTTTGTGAATGAGGCCTTTTGTGATAGCTGTAASCCTCTGCCTCCCTGCTTCAGAGGACCTGTTCACCTACCCAAGGCTCCAGGGTGGATGACAGAGGCATTAATAGTTACTTTTCAAGGTTGAGTTCCTAGTTACAATCAAGAAACTGAAAATTTCACAGATACAACTTGTAACACTTAAGGCTTCCTCCAAGGCACCTCCACTCCCATACTAGCACAGAAGAAAGGGGAAAAGGGTACTTGCTCCTGCCTCCTGGAGGAGGAATTCATCTAAGGGGTCTAGTATGGTTTGTTCTAGTGCACAACAGCATCTGTACAGGAGCAGGCTTTAGCAGCTGCTGAGTGTGCTTTGAGCCCAAGGTTGGGTGTGTTACCTGATAAGATGCATTTAGTTAAGCAAATAAGAAACCCTTTCTGCTTCCCCTCTTTCCTCAAGCAGGACCCCTCTCATGTTCCACTTGCTCACTCCAAGTAGTGCTTTACCCTTACTTTCCTAAGTAGCTGTATATCACTCCTGAGGGTGCAAGATTTAGGGGTAGAGCTGAGTGTATAATGCAGGTATGGAAAACTCTGCTTGTAAGTCTCATTATGAAAGAACAAGGAACATTCTTATGAACACACACTTAAATCCAAAAAAAAAAGTAGGACCCCAAATAGCAGTTAGAGGATGAAGAAGCACTTCTGGATTTAGCAAGGGGAGACCAAAACAAACATAGAAGCAAAGAAGCTTCCTCCTAGCCCTTGCTCATGGGGCATGTTTACATCAGTGTCTTCTCAAGGTTTTTCCCTGGTGGAGGCAGTAGGGCATTTGTTCCATTCTCCTACTCCCTGCTCCTRGAAAAGCTGTTGCCTCATTATGCTGAGCTCACCCTTACCTCCCCSCTGCATCAAGATCAAGGACTAGTGACACCGCTGGTTGTGCAGTTGTTTAAGAAATCATCTCTTGTCTTTATTTTGGTCAGTTTTATTTTGGTCCAGCTCCAAGCTGAGAGCTGGAACAGACCTGTACTGTAAGGGCACTGTGCTCTTCTTCAGCCTCCAGCAGTCCAGACAGCTGCTGTTTMGTTGCTTAAGGGGAAGCAAAATAGGAGGTAAAGAACAAAACTTTCCAATGATACAAGGTATTTAACTAGAATAAAATCTTAAACTATTGAAAGCTCAACCATGATAGTTGTTCTGGGAGAGTTGAAGGAATATGTACAAAGATGCAGACAGTTACACATGTTTTCAGATGGACCAGAGGCTCATACACAAGTACACAAGAAGCTTAACCAGGGCTTTAGTCTGAAATTAACTTCTGCTTGAAGGGATGGTTGGTAGCCTTTTTTTTTTTTTCCTTAAAAAAAAAAAAAGCATGGAAATTGTTACCCTTTTTTTAGAAGGGAGCCAGTCCTTTRGCTTTTGGTCCACAGATTAGAAGTATAAAGCCAAAAAAACCTATGCCTAACAGCATGTGAAATTACAGACTCTAAGCCATTTTTATCCTCTCTGTCAGCTTAAACCCTAAAAGATGCCATTACCAAGCTTGTTTTTCTTTACCTAGATCCAAGATAAGAATCAATTGAACGGTTTCTGCAAGTTTAAGAGGAAATCCAACTCCCTCATACTGATGCATGAGCCTGCTCCTAACAAACACCTTATACTGCACAAGCATTTAACATTCCTGAGGTAGGTGAAAGGCTACAGAGCTTCTCCAGAGACTCTGGTGCAGGATGGTGCCGGAGTCACTCTGGCACRGTCTGGCAGACACCTGCAACAAGTGGGGTTTTTTTTGAGCTCACCAATAGTCACAAGGATAAGGAAGAACAAGGGTACTAGGGAAGGMGGTCCCAAATCCCTTCTGAGTGTTCACAGCTGTCCTGTACTAGCAGCTCTGCCTCCRTGCAGGTTCCTGCTGGCCTGTTCACCTGTACAGAGCAGCAGGCAGGTGCCAGCACTTGTGTCCTCCTCTTTTCCTTCCACCCCTGCCCCAAGGGCTCTGGGCGACTGTGCTCATAGCGATTCAGCCACTCTCTATACAAGGCACTTACAGATTCTATGCATGCAGGAAGGGGAGCAGCTTTTTCCCTTCTCAAGGAAGGGATACCAGACTTAACACCTGCATCAGGCCTTCAAAAACCAGACCCCAACAATCCTTTCATTGCAGATAGGTTTGTGGTAATGCTCTATCAGAGCCAGACCCAGAAGACATGTGGGTGATGCCAAGCTTGAATCTGCACTGTTTAGAATCCCAAACCCTCAAGAAATCTGTTCTGGAACTCCAGCCAAAGTTACTACCAGTTGTTTCCATCTAGTGCAAGACAAGCTTTCACAGAGGTAAGGAAAGCTGCTTTCTCTTCAGGAACTTTATTTAAACCAGGTTAACTGTCATACACTAGTGTGCCTCAGTGCATCTTTTAAAAGGAAAGGAAGTCTTTTCTTTAAAAAGTGTTGTACATAAGACAAGTCATAGAAATGAACACAGCAACATCAGTCCCTAAGCCATGCACAATTGGACACTGAGCTGTGGTGGCTGTACAAGCAACAGGGAGAGGAAGGTTCTTTTCTACATTCTCTTCCAGATAAATTATTTCAAGAAGACTGCAATCTGAGCTGTACATAGGACTATAAATAGAAAGATATAAGAACCACAATCCTGATCTAAGAGTCACCAACACTTTCTGGGTATCAGGATCTGACTAGTCTTTAAGTTTTAGCCTAGTAGGCAACAAACACAAACAGGCAAGTTAGGAGGAGAGCTGTTAACCCAGCACCTGTTTGTGTAGCACATACRAAGAGAAGGAGGGGGAAGAGCAGTTTAGTTTCCCTGCCCTGCAAGCCTATGCCCCAGAGCTCAGAGAGCCTACACAGGAAAGGAACTAAGTTGTATAAAACCCTAAAGTAAGATTACACAGTACAAACCAAGTGCAAGTGTTTAGACACAGAATTAAGCCTCCCTTCCTGCACAGCTTCTTCCCACCATCAGAAGCAAGCAATTCTCTGGGGCAAAAAGATGCAGCTCCCTATGAAACCATCAGATGCTTTTATCAGAGTTCAGTTGCTTCAGTTTCTCCTCTTGAAGATGAGCCTTTAAGATGCACTAAACATCTTCACCAAGCAACAGCTCCTGATCCTGTCAGCCAGGACTCCGAGCCACTGCCCCACTTGTGTGTGCAGCCTTCCTCCTTCCCCAAGAGGAAGAGAAATGAGGTGCTCCCAACCAGCTGCTGACACCAGAGCAGGTCAACATTTATGCCCTATGTTCCAATAGCAGCATATTATCAAGGGAGATAATCCTGCATTTGGTTATTAGCCTTGGAAGTCTTTTTTTTTTTTTTTAAAGTACCAGCTACTAGGTCCTCAGAAAGAGCCTTTCTTCTCCAGACCAACAGATACAGTAACTGCATCAACTCCAAGGTGCTGTCCCTTCTCTGTTTTTAGCACAAACCTTCAGTACAGAAGCACAAGTAGGAGATACCYGACACCTTAGCAAGCCCAATCAATAGACTGGCTCCCAGGTTCACCAAGTGATAACATTAGCATTAAGTTTAGTCCACCCTCAAAATATAGAAAAATGACAGGTGACAGAGCAGATACATTATTGCAGCCTTAACCATATGCAGCCATCTCCTTTACTGAAAGGATTTAGCTACAAATTAAGGGAGGGGGACACTGAGGATGAAGGAAGCAATTTCAAAGTGTTGAGGTGACCTAACACCCTTTCCTGCTGACTCCATGAACATCCCCAGAAGAGACATCTCTTACTGAAGCAGTACTTACAGTGCACAAGCCTCTACCCCAAGCCTCCTTGTTACTGCCAACACTGCACTAGCACCTTTGGGCTCTTGAATACTCCAGAAGGGCCACATGCTTCCATACACAGCCAGGTGTGCAGGGAGCGACACTTGCGTTTCTTTTGTGAGAGTCAGAAACCCACTGACATCTCATCTCTTCCCCATTTGTTTGGCTCAACCCACCCTGAATTACTCTCCAAGGCCATCCTCAGGGGTAAGACAGCTGCTAGCAATACTGTCGTCCACTTAACACATTCACATGGAAGTGCAAAGCTGCATGTACATATGGGCAAGCATGCACACGCTTCAGAGCTGGCCGGACTCCCCACCCAGCTCAGAAGGTTGTAGTTGGGACAGAAGAACAAAAAATTCTTTCAAGTAATTTAAAACAGCCCATTCTTGAGGTTACAGCTGCACAGAAGCAGGGACTGTTGGGCCTGTTTGGGTTGGTAAGGCAAAAAAAGTCTGAAGTCCAGGAGGGATGGAAGAATGAGACGGTGTCAGTAGTGAAAGATTAAGAGTTATTCCATAGGTTGATTCTTCACACTCCTGTGATTCTTGTCTTCAACTGACCAGYGACCAGTCACTTCCAATTACTTCTGCACACAGCTTGGCCATGCAAGCCCACCACAGGCAGCTGATACAATAATATAGATGATTACCTGAAGAAAGAAAAYACTTCACTTCAGTGGAGAATTATTATAGCTCTATTAGTCAGCTGCTGATTTAATCTGGCTATCAGGACAAGTTTGGAACCCCCAATAGCTTATTGGATGCCCCACCACACCAATACCCCTTCCTCCACATCCCTGCAGGAATACAGGGGTAAGAACTGGGCCCTCCTGTTTTGTTGGAGRACAGTGGTGACAGGTTTTTTATTTATATATATACACACACACATATATATTTTTGCCATTCACATTTATGCTAAGTTGGATCATGAAAAAGCTACTTCTGAAGCTACGTAAGATACAAATAGGACTAAGGCCTAAAAGCCACTGCAGAGAGTAGCCATGAACTCTGTGTTATCACATCCTGTTGGATCCAGCAAGGCAGCTGTGTCTGAGGTGCTCCGAGGGCAGCAGCTTTCTGGAATCCTGTTCCTGTTGACCTAAGAGAGGCTGCCTGGCAC